AAAAAAAAAAAGTAGGAAAACGGAGGTCCTTTCCTATTTAATGTAAGGATTTCCCTTCTCCTTCTTTTTCTCTTTTTTTTCAAATACAAGAGCGCTTTTTTTTTATACACATAAACAAACCCGTTTTTTTTTCTTTTTTTATACTTTTCTCTTTTCTTTTTTTTGAGCGCAAATAATAAAAGATAATGAATACCTCACATAGAGGTACTAATACAAAATACTGTTATGGAAACATTGAATTAAAAAACATAAACTGTTTAAAACTTGAGAGTCACTGAGTGACCATAGTTTATCCTAAAAAATCAGATATATCACATTAATTTTTTTATATACCTGTTTTTTTAAATTTAAATAACTGTAAATAATGTAAATATGTATGTTATATTGAATAAAAACATGGTTAAACAAAAAAAAAAGTGGGTGAGGTGTTGCTCCGGCGGACATCCAAGTTAAGCAGCGTTGAGCTGGGTTAGTACTTGGACGGGTGAACGCTTAGGAACACCTCGCTCGCACAAAAATTGCGGGCGGGAGGTACGGTGTAGCGGCCTAGTATCTCCATCTAGTCAGTGGGACAGATGGATATATTAGGGCACTGCACAATCGACCGGCTGTGCGACTGGGGTTTTACATGGTTTCCCGTGCAGTCCTAGCTCGAATGGGGCACAGCTAAAAGTAAGACGGCCATGATACCGCAGATAACAATGAGAGGAAAAAGAAAGGAGGGGAGGCAGGCTAGAGGAGGGGTTTCAAATCGAGAATTACTTCGATAAAACCAATGAAATAGAAAAAATAAAAAAAATAAAAATTTAATCATTCCCTTGTGACCCTCGTGAAATTTGATCATCTCCTTGTGACCCTCGTGAAACTTAACTCTCGTGAAATTTGACCTTCTGCTTGTGATCTTTGTGATCCTTATGATATTTGACGCTTGTAACATTCAACTTTCGTGAAATTTAATAATTCCCGTGTGACCCTCGTGAAATTTGACCATTGTCTTGTTATCCTCATGAAGTTTGACGTTAAGTTCATGTAGGGTCACAAGGAAATGCAACGTTCAAACATGTTAATATCCTTGAATTTTGAGAAATCTGATGAGTGGAAAGACGATTTCAAGTTTTTAGATCTTAAGTGGATTCCAATAAATCAGAAATAAGGGCCATTGATCAATAAATTAGCACGTAGAATCCTGTAAAAATGGTCATTTAATTTTTAATACGTTATATTCATTTGTTTTCGGTTCGAAAGATTATTTCTGACATAAAATTCGCCGGGTTTCAATTGCGGGAGTTGCGTATGCCCAGTGGCAGTGGGTGCGCGGCAGAGTTGTGCACGAATATCCCATGCGCCGGAGAGCTGCGCACGGAGATCCCACGCGTGGGACTTTCGCCCTCATCTGACATCACTGCTCAGGCAATACATCGCCCCGAGGAACCTCAATTTCTCTCCTACCCCCACCCTAATCTACCGATGTTGCGCGGGGAATTCATGTTCTAATCGTGCATTTGCACTGGCCATAATTCCTAATTTAATGGTCCCAAAGACTTGGGACTCAATTGCGCCTCTATCGGTGAACTGTTCCGCATTCAACGGCGGCGGGGCCAACATGATCCGATGCTCCCTCGATGCTACAGCCTGAGTTTTTTATGTGGTGGCCTTGCGCCACAGTAACATCGGTGAGGTGGTGGGGGTCCACACGTAGAGGCCTGATTTGCCTGCTAGCGTGCGACTATCGTCTCCCGCGTGCTTGTTGGTGTGAGTCTCTACAGACTCTATGTGTGCGTGCTCGTCGGTGTGCCAACTCATCATTTGCCATAGCGCCGACTTCGTAACTCTCCCCGATGCTCCGCTCCACTCCCCTCGTCGGAAAGCCCACGCGTAACCCGCGGTGAGCGCAACAGCGTTAGAATTGAGCGATAAAATAAACAAAAATAAAATCAATACGAGAACTAATTGTGACAATGTGGCCTTGGGTGATTCGACTCCAGCGAGGAGTCCCCCAAGGAACCCCCCCCCCTTTTAATCCGCGGCAGTTCAGGCGAGGAACAGTACATGATTTCTATCATGTTACAATATATATATTATATCTATAAAAAATTATTCCAAGATAAAATGAAATTTTTCCAAGTCATGCATGGCGGAATAGATTGACCTCAAAAAACGTTATACTCTTTTCTTTTGGAGAGGATCAATGAATTGTGATATTATGAATTCAGGCCCGGTTGCACCAGCTTCAGGTAACAAAAACGTCAGTTGAGGAAAAATGTAAATTTTAATGTTCAATGGATTGTTTTACCCGGGAGAGTAACTCAAATTTATCCCAGCAACAATAAATAATAATTTATCCTCGAATGAAATCAGTATTAAGGGAAGACTACTGTTAGTTTTAAAAGTTGTGGGTTATTGGAGTGAGACTTTTCATATGTTGAAAATCGATTATATAGATCTGAAAACGAATAATTAGTGCAAAAAAAAATTTTTTTGTTGTTCGTTTGTCCGAAAATGGTTAAAATGCCAAAAAAGGTTCAGGGCCTCCAATTTTTGAGCTACGAATGATTTTTTTCAAAATTTTTGGAAAAATATGTGGAATAACAATTACGAGCTAGTTTTTTTAAAATTCACCTCTTACTTGGCAACAGTTGCTTTTTTTTACACAAATACTGCATTTTTTTATATAAAAAAAAAACGAAATCAGCTGTGTAGGCGTCGAATTCCAAAAAACTGGCTAGTAATTGTTGTTCAACACATTTTTCCGGAAATTTTGAAAAAAAAATTCTTTTGTAGCTCAAAAATTGGAGGCCCTAGACTGTTCTTAGCATTTTAAGCGTTTTAGGGCAAACGAACAATAAAAAGAATTCTTTTTGCACTAATTATTCGTTTTCAGATCTATTCAATCCATCTTCAACGTTTGAAAAGTCTCACTCCAATAATCCACGACTTTTAAAACTCACAGTAGTCTCCCCTTAACTCACATGGCACTACAGGATAAATAAAAAAATATTCGTTCGGACAAATATTCAAAAATGATGATCCCTAGGATATAATTGATCCGGATGCTAAATTTTACCGTGAGGTTTATTTGGTTAATAGGGCTTGGTGCAACCGGGCCTCATTCTTCAAAATAAAAATGGGATTGAATGGATATTACAAATTACGAAATATCATTTCTAATTCTGTATTCCAATTTCTTCAATTTCAATATTTAAGCCATTTCTCATGTTAAAATTCACTGGATAACTGAATTGTAAAATAATGCATTCATTTTTCCCCGTCGCCCATCATGAGATTTCAAATGACAGAACGTCGGTTTGTATCGGACATCTGAGTCAGAACAATCAGTGATTTTAAACACATGGACAAATTGGGAATCATTGCCTTCTCGGCAATCACGCACTTCATGTCCAAAATGAGTCATTAGGTGAAAAATTTCCAACTCAATCTCGATTCCTACTTTTTTTTCTCACAATCTGAATCAGGGTCAAGACGGTTATAAGAGTCTGCAATTTTCGAAAAATGCCCCTCCTGAGGGGGTCGAGAATCCAATTTCCAAAATAACCTATTAGGGGCAGAAGAGTCTACAGTTTCCGAAATATTCATCCCCCCTTCCCATCGTACCATCAGCAGTCCGATTTAGGGTTAGAAGCGTATAGAAAAAATTCACCCCGTGTAACCCTCAACCAAGAACCAAAAATTCCCTCCCCCCTCTCTTCGCAGCCTTCACAATCAGATTTAGGCTCAGAAGGGTCAGAAAAAATTCCCTCCCCCCCCCCTTTGGACTTCCCAAAATGCGATTAAGGGTACGAAGGGTCAGAAAAAAATTCCCTCCCCCTTGTGTCCACAAGGACCTCAAAACTCCCCCTTCCTCACATTGCACCCTCAACTAGCCGATTTGGGGTCAGAACGGTCCGGAAAAATTCTCCACCCCCCTTGGACTTCCCACAATCAGATTGAGGGTCAGAAGGGTCAGGAAAAATTCCCCCCCCCCCTCGCACCCTTCGCAATTCAATTTAGGGTTAGAAGGATCAGAAAAAGATTTTCCTCACCACTTGGACTTACCATAATGTAATTGAGGGTCAGAAGAGTTAAAAAATTCTTCCCTTCCTGCCCATCGCACCCTCAACTATCCGATTTAGGGTCAGAAGGGTCAGAAAAAATTCCGCCCCCCTTGGACATCCCTCAATGTGATTGAGGGTCAGAAGGGTTAGGAAAAATTCCTCCCCCCACCGGACTTCCCGCAATGCGATTAAGGGTCACAAGGGTCAGGAAAAATCCTCTCCCCCTTGCATCCTCAACGAAGAACCCAAAATTCCCCCCGCCCAACCCGATTTAGGGTTAGAAGGGTCAGAGAAAAATTCCCCTTGGATCTGCCACAATCCGATGTGGGGTCTGAAAGGTCCCTCCTCGGACCCTTCGTAATTCGATTCAGGGCCAGAAGGGTAAGGAAAAAAAATTCCCTCCCCCCCCCTTGGACAACCCACAATGCGATTAAGGGTCAGAAGGGTCAGAAAAAAATCAGCCACCCCCCTCGCACCCTTCGCAAATCGATTTAGGGTCAGATCGGTAAAAAAAATCGTATTATTAAAAAACCGGCCGGTGTTATACCACTATCGACTCATTCGTCAGGCGGCTGGCCTGCGACTGCTGCTATGCTGCTGTCTTGACCGACCTACTCGGTAATTCGGCGCTGCCGCCATCTCGCGGAATCCCCCCCACACGATGTTCTAGTGGTATCAGTGGCATTGTACACTAACAGTAATTTCTTCAAATTCATCAAAAAAACTAAATTAATGCGTGACAGCTGACACTAATCGTTTAATAATTGCCTTCTCAATCAATACTCAACTTTATTTCGGTCATTTTCATGATTTTTAGGCCCAAAAATGTACATCTACACTCATCTACGCTATTCCGTAGCCCCCAAATCACCAGGGTGGTAGTTATTAGAAAATGTTATAAATCACTTATTATAAATGGTCTGATTTTCCTTTCATTTTTGAGATTATTTCAATACTGTCATAACAGAAAAGCTCAAGTGTTGTGAATTTTTGATGCTGATACGCGGCTGTTATTACCATGTCGATTTATCTACGTTTGAAGCTTGAACCATCCAAATTCTCGAGTAGCAACGACAATTTATCGAAAAATTGTCTACGTCAGAGTTCCTAGATATACATTAGTAATCCGCTGCTAAGTGATATCTCTCGTCATCAGATTCATCGGAATCCGATATAGGCACGTCAGGATAGATGTTCAATCTGTTCTCAATCTTATAAACCTCAAAATTGTGCCAAGCTGCAAAAGCAGAAATGAAATAAAATAGATTTTGTTTTCTTCCTTTTCCAAGTACAAGAACGAGAAGAAAAATTTATTAACTTGCAACTGTGGATATAAGGTTGAATGATTCCTCTGCAATTCTATCAGGATCAGGAATAATTTGAGGGATTCTTTGTGCTGTGTCCTCGAGTCTCAACCATTTGAAAACTGAAAGTAATACACATGATAAAAATCTTGAACGATATTGGTCATTGAATGGAGAAACAAACAAAATAAATTGATTACCGAATAAAATTACGAAAATAATTGAAAGCAAAAAGCATTCTTACATTTGTGTGCTTTAACAAACTGAATTCTTATTTCTCTCCCTGTATTTTCATTCACAGTTTTTTCAGGCTCAATCGCTCCAAAAAAATACAAACTCAAGTAATGCACTCTCTCATCATGTACAGTACTAGAAAAAAGGGGGAAAAACTAGTTAATCGAAATTAAATTTTCCGTTGTTCACAATATAAAAAAGAGACATAAATTACCTGAACCGAACGTGATCAAGATCAACTTCCACAAAGTATTCTTTTATATCAACTAACATAATTCTTATCACCACTTTGCAATCATCTTGATACCAAAATATTTTTGGTAGGTTAGCACGTCTTTTCAGCATCGGTAGATCCATGCCATCAATTAATGAATACTGTAGGACTGGTGAGATTGTTCCACCAGAAATTGTAGGTTATCAATTGTGTAATGTATGTGACTTTACCCGAGTATGAATGCCAGTCAGTTATCTGTTTTATCGACCAAGGAAGTCTGTCCTCCAATATGGCGCGATTTGATAACACTAGATTCTTGAGAATAAAATATAATCCATATTAATCATACCCCCTGCTGTCACTTAAGTTATTAATACCCGATCCCACAAATAACATACATTTCAAATTGGACTCACATTCCTCCACCACTTATTCCGGATCGCGACGTAGATGTGGGAGCCATCAAGTGGTCTCTAAACTAACTACTCTTGGGGGGCAACCAATGAGATCCCTCGGAGGGAACCAATGATGGAGCTCAACAAATGAGATCAAAGAGAATCCAGTGATCTCATTGGTTGCCCGCCAAAAGTAGTTAGTGGAGAGATCACTTGATGGCTCCCAAATCTACGTTGCGATCGCGAATCTCAACGGAACAATCTCTAAAAAAAACAAAAACACATGTTTTTGTAAAAAAACTGCGCCAAGAAAAAGTTTTGTTTGGTTCTTACTGGAAAGTAGAAATTTTTGAAAAATACAAAGGAATGAAAAAGAAAGTCAAGTCAGCAATGTCGAATAAACGAAAATAATGTACAATCAGATTTCTATACGAGAAATAGTGTCAAATCGAATGAGGATTTTAAAAAAATTCTTGATGAAATAAAAAATTAGTAGAAGGAGGACCAACGTCCTTGGCGCGGATCAGAAGATGGAGAATTAGATTGATACTGGACAATGAGTTGAAAAACTCCGCGCCAAGAACGTTTGGTCCTCCTTCTATTAATTTTTTATTTCATCAAGAATTTTTTTAAAATCCTCATTCGATTTGAAACTATTTCTCTTATAGAAATCTGATTGTGCATTATTTTCATTTATTCGACATTGCTGACTTGGCTTTCTTTTTCATTCCTTTGTATTTTTCAAAAATTTCTACTTTCCAGTAAGAACCAAACAAAACTTTTTCTTGGCGCAGTTTTTTTACAAAAACATGTGTTTTTGTTTTTTTAGGAAGATTTTATTATTTTTTTCAAAATAAACAAGGAATCGTTTTTATATCCTGTAAATTTTTTCGTTTTCAATTCAATTCGGCTCATTTATTTTTCACACGATAAATCATCTTTCCAATTAACAATCGAAGTAAAACAAATAGTTCTATTCCACAGTCGTTATTTGCACCGACTTTTAATTATTTATTCAAGATTTTCCGACTGAATTTGCTTCTTCGAGAATTCATTTGTGCACGAAACTCGAATGAAAAATATCTGTGGAATTCATTATTCGTGCACCATATTCAATTTGTAAATTCTCGGGCTTCCCTCCTTGGTGCGAGTGGTTGTATTGCACTGCTACCAACTCCGCAACAAAAAAATGACAGGAGTTGATGTGAAATGCGAGAATGTGCATATGAACCCGGTGCTATACGCGTATTTTTTTAAATATTGCTTCGAACAAAAAAATAGTTACATCAATGAGAAGCTTGTGGCCAATTTATATAATGTAACTAAGAGTATTTTTCATGTAGCTCGTCACGTTTGTATTTTATTTACTGGATATGATTCGGAGGTAGTGGACGGGGTAGTTGCTTCGTGTATAGATACACGGCAGCGATCGGCCTGATGTTTTGTACAATCGGAGTCAAAACTTTTCTTGGCCGATACGCTGCCGCGTATCTCGATTAGCAGAGATTATAGGGGCGATGAGTAGGGCCAATGTAAAGTGTTCAACAGCAAAATACGTAGCGGTGGCGCATGGACTACGATGGAGCGTACGGAACTGTTGGTATGGTAGGGACCGAGCATAAATTTGTCGATAACCGGAAAGGGGTTCTCAATACGGTAGCTCCTCGCATTTTGTAATAATTGTCAGGAATGTAAAATCGAACATATTATAATCAATAGTATAAAGAATGCAGAATCTAATAATCTAAAAGGCTTTTCCTTTTTCTCGACATATTTGTTATTGACACGTAGGTCAAAAAATTCATAGAAAATCCAGCACTGTCGCTGGAAAACTCTATAGTTTTCCAGTGATTCTATTTTATAATTGTGCAGATTTTGTTTTTTTTTTTTTACTATAGTAATATTCGATTATATATATTTATTCCCGCCCTGAGTGAGAAAGGAATATGTATCGCGCTCGCTCCCACTCATTGTCGTCTCCGTCGCGTTGGCACGTGCCCGTCCTCCGCCAAACTTAACGAGTGCGAGTGAGAAAGAAAATGGAGAAGAAGGAGAGAGAAAACATTCCAACTCGTTTGAACGGTTGGAACGTTTTCGTTGTTCTCCAGGGATCTACACATAATGGGATTAATTCAATAATAATAGATTAATGAATAAGATTTTTCGCAGATTATTGCGAGATTTAGATGAATGGTTTGCCTCCTTCAGTGACCATAAAAAATGGTCTCCAATCGACAATATCTCCCGATGGAATGGAACGATGTGAATGAATCAAGTATCAATTTGAATCTTTAAAAAATTACTCGAGAGTGAAAAAAAAACCGGGAATTCCACTCTGACATTTCTCTATTGTCTGTATTTACCGAGAAAAAAAAACGTTCCTAGGAATCGATGTGGCTTTTTTTAGGCAGCTGCATTTCTGAAATGCAATGAGCAAGTAATGTTAAAATTAAGTCATTTTGTAAAAAATTTCCAGTGACATGATCCTGAAAACCAAAGGAAAGTCTTGAATTCAGGAATGATGTCTGTAGGTTTCATTAATATTTTCGCGGAAATTCCGGGAACACTTATTGGGAATTTTTATCGCGTTGCCGTAATCCGGAAATTTCAAGGAATTTCGTCATTGCAAATTAAAAATTTCTATAAATTTCAGTCCAATTATATGTGTACGTCCACGTGAAAAGGGCCTATTTTGTCGCATCTAATTTCCGAGATATTCACGTTTTTCTCTCGAGTCCATTTATCCCATTGTTAAATTGATTTTTTGATCTTTTATACGGACGTCACACGGAGAAAAATAAATCGGTAAAAGTCTTGCGATCGCAAGGAGTTTCCCGAAGATCCCTATTTTTCATGCACGAAGAACAATGAAGCTTTTTGGAATCTTCGGGAAATTCTATCCTATCCTACTCAAGTAGGAGCGGAGGAATGAATTTTCAAAAGCGCGGAGTAACCCCGAACGGTTCTCCGGCGTCGAGCGAGCGCGGAGGGGCCAGGGGATGGAAACTCAATGTAAATGCCTATACCTGGCTATTTGGCTAGCGGGTCTCTAGGGGGCACCAACTTACTGACAAAAAGTCCTAGAATTCGGTGCTAAACGCTGTTGGTGCTCTACTTTTTAGTTATATCCCTAACTAAATCATAATAATAATAGAATGAATAATTTTTTGGACGTGCAGTAAATTATTGATAGAATAATCAAACAAAATATAATTGATGGACGGAAGAAAAGAGAAATATATCAATTATTCTTCCTCAGTCTTGTTGAAATTATGAGAAGCAAATGACCAAATGAAATGTCATACTTATACCTTTCTGTTTTTAGAAATAATCCTCAACAAATCTGAATTACATGCAATGATTATCGTTTTGGTATTAATGACATCTTTATGGTTCTTTTTCCTATAATTCCTATGTAGAGGACGTCCAAAATCAATGAATTTCAATTGTCGTTCGTGGACATTTATGTCNCGAATTTCAATTGTCTTTGTGGACATTTATGTCATTTCATACAGTTTATTCATTATTCTCTATATATTACCAGCCAGTAAACCTCTGGTAAATCTTTGATAAATTTTATTCGGATGTTACTGGAGGTTTATCGAGTGTACTTAACAGAGATTTATCCCCCCGGTAAATGTCTGTTAAGTAATCCTCAATTAGTTTGCAATAATTTAATTTTTTTAATTTTGAAAGGTTTGAGTTTGATTTTTCATTTTAAAGTTTTAGGAAACTTAAAAACTCTGGAAAAAAAATTGGAAAGTTTGCTTTTGAAACAGAATTGATAAAATAATTGAAAAATTACAATATTTGAAAATTAGGGGTGAGTGGGGCGAAGTGAAACGGCCCGGCAAAGTAAAACGAGGGGTACAAAGTGTACTCAATTTCAGAGTTACGAGTGGCCTTTTTTTCTCAAAGTTTTTTAAAAAATGTGTAGAACAACAATTACGAGGTACTTGTTTCAAATTCAACTCCTAAATAGTCAATTCCGTGACTTTTTCAATTTAAAAAATCAATATTCCTCCAAAATAGCCAGGAAAATAATCCTGAAAATAATTATAGTATTTTGGATTTGAGGAAAAAATTTAAAAAAGAAAAAAGTATTCATTCTTCGGGTTTTTTACTTGAATATTGCAATTTTTTATTCGGAAAAAAAGGAAATTGGTTATTTAGAAGTGGAATTTTGAAAAAGTACCTCGTAATTGTTATTCTAGTAGTTGGACTCTAGTAAATTGGGTGATCCTGATAACCCATTTTACCCCTCTCCTCCCCCTAGTTGATACGAAAAAAAAAATCCTCTGAATTCCGCTATACATTCGCTTTTTGCCATCGTTTCATTTAGCCCGGCGTTTAACTTCACCCTGGGTCCCCTACGACCATTTTTTATGGATAATAATTATTATATAATATAATTCATTCATTTATAAAAAAATCAATTTTCGGGCCTGAAAATACTTTGTTCAAAATCGTAACAAATTCATAAATTTTCAAAATTTTACCTGAAATCCTTTTCATGCACAGAAAATAAGGTTCCCAAAAGTTTAAACAATTTCAAATACTCATTTATCAGAAGGAAATGTTAACAATAAAAAAATTCTTTACAAAATGGAATTTGAATGAAACTCGATATCCATGAATTATTTCAAATTTATGGCATAAGAATCTGAGATAAAGAAGAAAGTCAACTTCTGGTGAAAAATCGATAAAATAATTCAAAAGATACGATTTTTGAAGATTACGATCATTTTTCATGAAAAATTTCTTCAAAATNATTTCAAATTTATGGCATAAGAATCTGAAATAAAGAAGAAAGTCAACTTCTGGTGAAAAATCGATAAAATAATTCAAAAGATACGATTTTTGAAGATTACGATCATTTTTCATGAAAAATTTCTTCAAAATCTGAGTGTTCCACCCTGCAATGATTTTTTTGAAAATCCTAACAAATTTATTAACATTCAGAATTTCACC